TATATATATATATATATATATATATATATATATATATATATATATATATATATATATATATATATATATATATATATATATATATATATATATATATATATATATATATACCATATTTGGGATGTGGTGTTTTCGTATGAAATGACATCACGCTGAGATATTGTCAATGGGGGTCTTATCCATTTCAACTATATCAATCTTGTTCATTGAGTTGAATGAAGTGAATGGGTCCCAAAGTTACAGTGCTAGTACTTTTATATTTATACGCGAATGCCATGCTCTTTTTTCTGAGACACCTGTAAATCGTAAAAACGCGCCGCGCATGCGCAATTATGACGCTTACTTGTGTGTATTAGTATTTGTATTGGTATCCAGTTATTTTACGAAACTGATATTTTTATGGCAGGTGGTAAACCCTGTCTTTTGAATACACACATTATTTATCAATCAGTAGAATTGCCGTGGAAATCAGCTGAATAGAATGACAACGTGAAGCCGACGTAGAACTGATTTACGCGTGCAATATTAATGTCTGGTCTATATCGTTGTTATAAAACACCCATGTGGTAAATACGTTGAGACGGACTTAGTTTTGAGACAAAGAGGCCTGTAACAAGTTTACTAATTCAAATGTTGTTTTATCTCAGATAACTAGAGTTACTCGACTGAGTTATTCAGCACTGTTCATCACTCGAGTGTAATAAGGGGTATACATTTTTCAGTTTGAAAAAATTAAATGTAATTTTTGTTAGATACCTGGGCCGGCGCCGCGCCCTACTATTTCTCAATATAATTAGATTTAAATATCTGAAAGATTACTTCAATCATGAATCACTGTAGGTAAAATCGCCGGGGACGCTGCGCAGATGAATGTTTGTGAGAAAATAAAATAAAAAAACTATTACTGCACTGCCATAAAACCCCAGAGAAGATAGTTTTGCACACTGTTTGTCTTTAGGGAGGCTTAGATGGAAGTGCATATGTGATTGTTTATTATATACATGTGTTATTATCAGGTGTACCTGCACTATAACTGTTATCAGTTTGTCATTGGATTATCCTTTACTTGGGTATTTGCATAACAATGAATAATAACATACTGGCACGTTGCACAATTTGCCACATTTTATATAAAATTAGTCATCAAAAAACGTGATAAATATACTCCACAGTAGCACTAATCATTTGTGTTGAGAAGCCGCTACACCTTTTCTGTGTTGTCACAACTTTGAATAATGAAAGTAACTATACACGTATCTCACTTGCCCCACGTCGTCAAATATACTATTTGTGTCAGCGACACATAGACGATTCACAAGACAATGAAAAAGTTGAATGTGTCCCGGTTTTGAAAGGCAACGTTTTATCACAGAATAACGGTATGGAAATGTGCTAACGAGATGTGAATTACAGTCGGGGCACGTTCACATGCACTAACAGTCGGTGTATGCTGTGAATTCAGCGGGAAATAATGCTGTGTTTTCTAGAAATAACGGGTTTGGTCATGTTGACATCACAAGGGTCGGCAATCATTCTATCACATTACAATTATACAAACGAATGACTACCTAGTATGCTCGACGTGTTCCACTATATCCATGCTTTCTAAAACATGTGGTTATTACAGGGTTCGAATAAGATAACAAACAAAGAAATCTTCATTCAAAAATGGCACCACATTCTTCTCGCTAACTTAAAGGCCTTTTTAAAGTTTGATTTAACGTGATATACTATAATCTGAAATCATATAAATCCCAGATTAACAACAAACATCACAAAGTCTTGAAATTAACATAATTTAATATTCAGAATATGTTTCACGTGTCATTTGTTCACGTGATTATTGGCGCCTTAGTTCGTGCCAATATATCTGTTTTAGAGCTATATGTCTCGTTATCTGTAGATCTACACATAACTTACGCCACATGGAGTAATGTATGCAATAACTTATCTCAAAAAAAGATCACAAGTCAATGCACTATGACCCAGCTAGGGGCAGACCATTTGTAAACAAGGGGTGGGTTTGGAAGATAAAGTGTGCAATAATCTGATGCGATATTTTCTTTTTTAACAACGAACTCTATGCATGCTAATTATAGCTATATTTTGCTTTACGAAATCAAGTATTTTTATTTGATCTTCAATACGATTTCAAATTTACCATTTCTTACTCACGAATAAACCACGGTAAGGGAAATTGTTGCTCCACGTACGTTGCTGTTCTGATCACAGAGAGCGATTCATAATATCGTGGATTGGTCATTGGTTTCATCCTTGTTCCATATCGGGATAGAATAGATTAGAATAGTACTTTATTAACACCGTAAAGAAATTATTACATTTCTTTTTTGATTATAGACATCAATCAAG